AACATTTCTTACTAAAAGGAACTGTGTCTTCCTCAGAGAAATGGCTGGTTTGGGAATTGGGATAAAGAAGGTATAATATGAATGTGGAACATTATGTGTTGCCAGAAAATAAGAAACTGCTTAAAAAGAGGAGTATTTCCTAAGGAGGTAGCTTAAAGGAACTCTTATTGTCAAAACCTGGACAAGCTGAATGGCAAATAATTAAGGATTGTAACAAATTATAAACCATTGGAAAAAAGTCAGCACCCATGGGTCTCCATTGATAATTTACAGATAAACGAGAGAGAAGGGAGGTATTGCAGCTCAAAGATGACAGATGAATATGGAGGGTATGCTGGAGTTGAAAACCCTTCATTTTACAGCAGTATTCATAGTAAAGATTAATTGGTTCAAGTAAGAATTAACCAGGAGATGTCCAGGTGGGAATTTGGATGAAGAGCATCATACTTGCATGGTTTTAAAGTGTTTCTCCACAGATTACTTCTGAATTGCAAGGAAATAAATGTAGTAGAGAAATGGGGTAATACCTTGAGTGGATGGTCAAAATTAATATCAGTAATAAGGGGCAGATGCAGATTGTCTACATCGAGATGTGTTGTAAGGATCCACCAGCACTTAGCACTGATCCGAGATTGTATATTTTGCATCAAGTCATGAGGAAACATTAGGTAAACCCAAGATAAGAGACATTGTATTCTAAAATGAGCCAAAAAAAAAAAAAACCCAAAAAAACCCAAAACACCAAAAAACCCCCCAACATACCATTGTAGGAGTATATTAAAGGGACACAGGAACCAACTAAAACATTTCCCAATGACCAGTACTGGAACAATTTGAACAATAAAATAAAATACTATTGGACTGTAACTCAAAGTATGAAATAAACATCCTTGAGTCTATAGTGATAGAAATAAGTAAATAAATTGGTGAGAAGAGACCAATCTAATGTAGAAGAACTCCAAATCTACTCTGCCTACAAGGAGGTGGAGCATAAATCCCACTCCATAAACATGGGCTGTACAGAGTGATTTCCTTTAAAGAGTACAGTATTTAAATTAGAGAACATGAGTAACTTTACAGTGCAGACATCTGACAATACTGTCTTAGCCAGGTGAGCGAGGTTAACAACAGGGATAAGTCATATTGGTAGTTTCATGTGCTGTTGATATGAGGTGATGAAGTAGCACTTCTTGTCTTCCCAGAAATACCTAGCCCCAGTTTGATCATAAGAAAAACATCAAATAAGTTCGAGTAGAGGCTCTTGTTACAAAATACCTGACTAGAATTCCTTAAAACTGTCAAGGGGAGTGAACACAAAGGAAGTCTAAGAAAGTGTTACATGTAAGGGGAGCCTAGAAACATGACTACCAAATATAATGTATCCTGGATGGGCTCCTGAAATAGGAAAAGGACGTAAATAAAAACTAAGGAAATTGAAGGATGCCTGGGTGGCTCAGTCGGTTAAGCATCCGACTTAGCTTAGGTCATGATCTCACGGTTTGTGGGTTTGAGCCCCATGTCAGGCTCTGTGCTGACAGCTCAGAGCCTGGAGCCTGCTGCGGATACTCTGTCTCCCTCTCTGTTTCTCTCTCTCTCTCTCTCTTTGTCTCTCTCAAAAATATATAAAAAAAAAAAACAAAAAACCCTAAGGAAATTGAATATACAGATATTGACAGTATGATTCATAATAGCAAAAAAGAGGAACAAACCTTCATCTGTCAACTAATGAAGGAATAAATGTGGCATATTCATACAATGGCATACTATTGAGCCATAAAAATGAATGAAGTTCTGATACATGGTATAACACGAACGAACCTTAACATTGTGCTAAGAACCTTAACACTGTGCTAACAGTGTGCTAAGTGCTAAGTGAAAGAAACCAGAAATAGAAGGCCACATGTTACATGCTTCCATTTATAGGAAATACCAGAATAGGCAAATTCATGAAGACAGAAAGTTAGTTTAGTAGTTACTAGGGGCTAGGAGGTGGGAGAAATGAGGGAATGACTGCTGTTGGGTAATGGGCTTCTTTTTGGGGTGATTAAGATGTTTTGGAATTAGATAATGGTGATGGTTGTATAACTTGTAAGTATGCTAAAAACCACTGAAGTGTATGTTTAAAGTGGCGAATTTTATGGTATGTAAATTATATCTAAAATTTTTAAAACTAAGGAAATATGAATAAAGTGTGGGATTCCACTTATTCAGAAAGGTGAGGGGAGGGTACTGTATTCAAAATGTCAATGTTATAGGGGCGCCTGGGTGGCTCAGTCAGTTGGGTGTCCACATTCGGCTCAGGTCATGATCTCACAGTCTGTGAGGTCGAGCCCTGCGTCGAGCTCTATGCTTTCAATTCAGAGCCTGGAGCCTGTTTCAGATTCTGTGTCTCCCTCTTTCTCTGTCCCTCCCCCATTCAAGCTCTGTCTCTATCAAAAAATGAATAAACGTTAAAAAAAGTTTTTTTTAAATGTCAGTGTTATAAAAGACTGGAAAACTTCGAGATTTGTTGAGATTAATGAGGTATGACAACTTAAGACAGTGTATGGTCTTTAATTGGATCCTGTATGGTGGTGGGTAATATAAGTCATTATGTGGTCTGTTGACAAAAATGAAATAAGGATAGTAGACTAGATTAAAAGTATTTGATCAGTGTTAAAGGTAGTTTATATAGTTTATATAATCATAATAGTTTATATTTTGATTATAGAAGAAAACATTCTTAATTTGGGGAAATAGATATTTGGAGATAAAGGGACATGATGTATGTAACTGGCTTTCAGATTATTCACGAAAAAAAATGTTAAGTATATATTATGTGCACAGAGGAGAGAGATGCACGCAATTAAATGAGGTAAAGGTGAGTCTAGGTAAGTAGTCACTTGGCATTGTCTTGTATATATCCTAACTCTGTTTTTAGGTATATACCTTCAAGAAATTCTTCTACATGTGTACCAGGAAACATACCCAATAACATAACAGGAACCTTATTTGTAATAGTCAATAATTTGGCAGGGGGTGGAGTGGGGAAGTCTATCAATGGAGGAACACTTTATTTTATTTTATTTTATTTTTATTTTATTTTATTTCATTTCATTTCATTTCATTTCTTAAAGTTTATTTATTTGAGAGAGACACACACCACGAGTTGGGCAGGGGCAGAGAGAGGAGAGAGAGAATCTAAAGCAGGCTCTGTGCTGGCAGCACAGAGCCTGATGCGGGGCTGAACCCCTGAAGCCGCAAGATCATAACCTGAGCCAAAACCAAAAGTTGGACGCTTAACCGACTGAGCCACACAGGCGTCCATCAATGGAGGAACATTTTAATATTAGCATGTATCAACATATGCAGTCTCAAAAAGAATGCCAAGTGAAGAACAAGTCACTGAGGGAATGTAACTAGAAACATTGCATTTATATAAAGATTAAAACCAGACCAAACTAAGCGTATACATTATTTAGGGCTACACAGCTATGTGAGAAAACTATATTATTTGTTGAGGGTGAGGTGCATGAGGGAGGGAGACTTGATCATGGAGGCAACAGGGACTTGGAAAGTGCTGGTGATACTCTGTTTCTTAAGCTGGTTGATGTGTAAATGAGTGTTCATTCTAAACAGTTCTTCTAAAATTAGTGTCTTCTAAACTATTTATAAATACTCTGGTATGTGTATTTCTTAATTAAAAAAATTTTCAAACCACAGAAAACTCTCCCAAGCCAAAAAATAAAGGTTATAAGTCATTAAAGGAACAAAGCAAGTTCTAAAATAGTATGTGCATTATGATTTTTTGTTAAGAAATTGCATATGTATCTGTATCTTTGTGTTTAAATGGGAATAGAAATAAGTCTAGGGGCGCCTGGGTGGCTCGGTCGGTTGAGCGTCCGACTTCGGCTCAGGTCATGATCTCACGGTCTGTGAGTTCGAGCTCCGCGTCAGGCTCTGTGCTGACAGCTCAGAGCCTGGAGCCTGTTTCGGATTCTGTGTCTCCCTCTCTCTCTGCCCCTCCCCTGCTCATGCTGTGTCTCTCTCTGTCTCAAAAATAAATAAACGTTAAAAAAAAATACCTTTAAAAAAAAAAAAAAGAAATAAGTCTAAGAAGATAAACAGAAAAATAGGTTGCTCCTTTAGGAAGTAGGATTTCTAGACAACTTTTACATTATACTTCTCTGTATTTGTTTCTGAAATCTGTGAGCATTTATCATCCATGCTTACCTATGAGATTATATTTCTTTTATCTTTATTGCTCTTGAATAAGGAGCATTAAGGTAAGGTCCATGTGTTATACATAACTTCTCTGAATTTATTTATTTTTTTAATTTTTATTGTTATTACTATTATTTTAGAGAGAGCACACATGAGCAGGGGAGAGGGGCAGAGGGAGGGAGAGAGACAGACAGAATCTTAAGCAGGCTCCACACCCACTGCTGAAACTGATGAGAGGCTTGATCCTACAATCCTGGGATCATGACCTGAGCCGAAATCAAGAGTTGGATGCTCAACTGACTGAGCCACCCAGGAGCCCCATCTCTGTATTTTTTTTAATCTGAAAAATAATAAAACAATTTCCATTTTGGAAAAAAAACAATCAAAACAACTAAAGCAAACAAAAAAATTAGTGGAAGGTCTCTATCAGTGTTTGGAAATGTTAAGCGAGAAGCAGTTTATAGAACAGTATTTTACATACTTAGTTCACCTAATATGTATATAGGTGGTATAATTTACAGACAGTTTTTATTTTCTTTGTATTTCCCTTACTTGCATGTATTACATATGGAAGCAAGAAAAGTAAAATGTGGGAATATTCACCACTATTAAAGACTGAAGTCCTGAATTGTTTTCAGTGATATTATTCTTAACGTTGTTGGTAGCTCCTTACCTGGATGAGTACGGCAAGGTACTAAGAGAGCTCTCTAATGCAGAGGATTTTTTTCTTTCATAGATGGTGACTTTATTCTTTGACAGCTGCATTGGTCATTTATGTAACTTTATGCCTCCTTCAGGTGCTGCACTATCTGGCAGTCCAGAAACCTGCAGACCTTGCTCGGCACCTGTTACCTTGTGTAATTCATGCAGCTGTACTCAAGGTAAAGGAAGAAGGTAAATGTCTTACTTCATTAGTCATTAGTTTATTTCCAAAATGAAAGTATATTTTGCCTGACTTAATTATGGCTTTGATCTTTTTCAAAATAGAAAATCTGGAAAACATTTCTTCAGTTAAGAAGATTATAAAGCAGATAATAACTCATTCCAGTAAAGTTCTGCACTTCCCCAATCCAGAAGACAAGAAATTGGAAGTAAGTTTGCTGTATGTCGGGGTCTGGCCAAGTGTTCTCCCCAGTTGGCAATGATTATTTTAAAGTTACATTTTTTAAAGGCTGCTTTTTTTGCTGCTTTCCAATGTATGTTTCTCCCTTTTCCACTGTTAGGAAATCATCCATCAAATTACTAATGTAGAAGCTATAATTGCCAGAGCCCGCTCACTGAAAGCCAAGTTTGGAACTGAGAAATGTGAACAAGAGGAGGAAAAGGAAGACCTTGAAAAGTAATTGATATTTGAGTAACTTTTATCTGCAGTAGGAAAAACCACCATTCTCTTCAGAAAACTTTAATAGAATGTTGAGATTCTTTTGTTGTACCCCTGTGTTATTTGTAACAAGCATCAGCTAGAGACAGAAAAATATTTAATTATCATAGAATTTGACTTCTCCTGTATTTCTGGGTGTTTGCAAGGTGGATCCATTCCTTCTACATTTAAAAACAAGTCTACCAGGTCTTTTTTTCTAGGAATGTGCCTGCAGTTGCCTGTGGAAGAGCTAGTGATTCTTTGTTACTTGCAGTGCCCCAGAGCTTTGCTTTCAGCTCTCACTGTTCTTTAACCAGTCTGAGGTGTTGTGAAATTGTATTTCTCCCCAATATTCCTAGTTATTTATTTAACTCTAAGTAAGGTTTTTGATAGCAAAGGTGCATATCTTGTGTACCTTGTGAACATGTTTTGAAAGAGTGACCAGATGGCCTCTCCAGGATGATACAGATGACCGGGTCAATCATTTCCTCCTCCTGAGAAAGTCTTGGCACCATTACCTGTTAGTATGAGTCCCTTTCCGTTGTTGCTTATGGTACTTGAAAGAAAAATGTTTTTATATGTGATAAAGTGTTTCCAAATTAGCCGCTTCAGCAACTTGAATTTATCATAATTTTAAAGTCTTCATCAGCCTTTTCAGAAATGAAATGGCATTATTGATGCTAAATAATATCATATGACAAGACATGCTATAGCTCTTAACAAGTTCTTGTTAGAATTTTATGTCTTGTGTTCGGGGAAATTTTGTCTTAGCCTTCTTTGCTCTTGAAAATTCCTTCCTTTTAAATGAGAAGAATGAATGCTAATCAAGGGAATCATTTCTAAAATAGCAGTATGAATTAGTGGTGCAGGCACTCTCATAGCTTCAGAACTCTAACATAGGTTATCTGTGATATACATGGAGGTGCAGTGTTTCCGGCACCTAATGGCACAGTTGAGACTTTGCCCAGTAAAATGTATCTTTTACACACACACACACACACACACATACACACACACCCCTTAAAAGAACAAAAATGAGAAATGTGGATCATTGCTTTGCTGTATACATATAACTTGGGTTTTTTTGTCCAAATTTACTGTTCGAATCTTTTATTTATTGTAGTATTCTCGAAGCTTCTAGTCTGAAAGACAGACCGAATATTTCTTTTTGCCCTTTTACAAAGATGGGTTTTTAAAAATTCTGTGAAAACAGATGAAAGGCAATAAGATTGTCATTTGAGTCTATTTTAATTCCAAATGTGACTCTTTTCTCTTGTAAAAGTTCCACTCTAGCCTTGGTAGGTTTAGCCAGTATCAATTTGAGAGTTTTCCACAACATTAATCTGGGAGACTGACATGGTGTGAACTGAGCAGCTCACTTTCTGTCCTTTCATTACCTCTCTCCCCTAGGTTTGTGAGTTGCCTTTTGGAGCAACCTGAAGTGTTAGTTGTGGGTGCAGGAAGAGGACATGCTGGCAAAATCATTCACAAGCTGTTTGTGAATGCTCAGAGGGTATGTGAATATGCTTATTGTCTGTGTCATGATGTCTCCAGACCTCTACTCAGTAAGTTGCTGGTTTGATTCCCACACATGGCTGATAATACAGCTGTTGAGTGTAAGTCTCGGCATTGGGTTCGAACAATATAAAAACAGTGACTCTCAACGGTGACTTCTGAGTCTCTGAAATCCATTTTCTTTCTTACATATTTAAACAAAATTATAAGTATATTTTAGGATATAAATTTCAGAAGTCAGAAGAGTCTGAAATCCATTGTTGTAGAATCTAATAGGGACTCAGCAATGGCCACTGCAGTGCGGTAGGAAAAAATGTTGCATGCTTTCAAATTAGAATAGAGTTCAGTTTTACCAATTTTAAACTCCATGTACTCCAAATGGATTCACAGTTTTGCTTGTGAAGTTAGTATATCTGTTTCTGTTATAGTGAATTGATCTAAGGAAGAGCAAGATTTCAGATATGTAGAACTGGGGAAACAGGCTTCAGGACAGAAAGCCCAGTTGCAAAAATTATCTTTGGCATTACCTCTACTACTGAGAGTCCAGGTTCAAAAGTTATGTAGTACTTTCTGACATTCATTAAAATTTGAATTTTTATGAAGGTGATGCTAGTTACACTTTGTGTGGATACTCTCTGTACTGATGATGTCAGGGCTCATTAATATTAAAGATTGTGATAAAAGTATTCCAGAGTGTGCTGTGGACAGTCCCTGACTTACGATGATTTGACTTATGATATTTGACTTTATGATGGTGAGAAAAATATATATTCAGTAGAAGCCGCATTTTGAATTTTGGTCTTTTTTCAGGCCAGCAGTATATGCTGCACATTCCTCTCTTGTGATGCTGGGCAGGTGCAACGACCAGTCCCCGGCAGCCACATGGTCATGAGGGCAAACAGTTGATATACTTACTTACAACTACTCTACCCAGACAACTGTTCTGGCACTCACTTTCAAGTACAGTATTTTAATAAATTACATGAGGTAGTCAACATTTTATTATAAAACAGACTTTGTGTGAGATGATTTTTGCCCAACTGTAGGCTTATGTGAGTGTTCTGAGCTTGGTTAAGGTAGACCAGGCTGAGTTACAATGTTTGGTAGGATAGGTATAGTAAATGTATTCTCAACATAGGGTATTTTCTTTTTTTCTTTCTTTCTTTTTTTTTTTATGTTTATTTACTCTTGAGAGAGACAGACAGAGAGGGAGGGAGAGTACAAGCAGAGGAGTGACAGAGAGACAGAGGGAGATAGAGAATCCCAGTAAGGGTCCATGCCATCAGTGCAGAGCCTGATATGGGGCTTAAACCCACAAACCGTGAGATCATGACCTGAGGCGAAATCAAGAGTTGGACCCATAACCGACTGAGCCACTCAGGTGCTCCCAATTTAGGATATTTTCAACTTAGGATACGTTTCTTGGGACGTAACTTGATTGTAAGTCAAGGAAAGATATGTAAGTACAGGGTGTCCTTTACCTGGAACTATGATGACTCTAGAATGACCCACTTGTGAAAGTATAATTCTCAGAATCAAAAAGAATTTTCATGGGTTTACATATGATATAAAAGCTGTATAATCTCCTTTGAGTCTGTCTGGAGTATATCTAGTTAATGTAGTCAATTTGATAGCCTAATGTACTGATCTGAATTTTTAGCAAGAAATGAAACCTGTGATTATGTGCGAGATTGCTCCCTAACTTTAAGATTTCAAGTTAAAAACCAAGTACTTAATTTCCTTATAGAGTTCTAGAAAACAGTAGATGCTTACTTTGATTTGTTTTTGTCTCTGCCATGAAACCAGGAATCAAGTTTGTTTTTGCATCCTATATCCTTTACCAGCTCACTAGCCAGAAGCTAACAACCACATTTCCTTGTCACCACCAATATGAATTTTTCTCCTGTTACAGAAATTCTTTTCTCTGTCCTCACTTGTAAAAACTTGTGTATTAAGAGGACTTAAAATCTAATGTATTTTTATTTTTAATGCTGAGAGTATTCCTTGTTTTAGATAGTTAAACAAAATTATTTTCCACAAAATGGAAATAGCTTTTCCTCCCTAGAAAGTTAGTAAAGGCTCACTGTAAAAATACAGAAAATTAATACAGAAAATTTACATCAGTAAATATAGGAGTGTCTCATCCTTTCATTGGCCTTGTGTAGCTAATCCCCTTTAAGGGATACTGAAATTACACATTTTTCCCAGTTGTACAATTGCACTTGTAAAACATTTCAAACTTTCAGACCTTGTAGGGAATGCTTTTGGGAGTTGGCAGACTGTAATCCGTATAACAAGCACCTGATTGGTACATTTTTGAACTCAGATCTTAAATGTCTGGCCGTAAACCACTAAAGTTTATTCATGTAACTTTTCATTATCAACTGACACTTTATATCAATTCTAATAAATCAAGATTTTAACTTTTTAAAAAAGTTAAATTTCACTGAGAATTTTGTGTAGCATACAGCAGCTTTACATATTTGTAACTTTGTGCTTAAAGTTATACACTTTATTAAGGTTTTATAAACTTCATTATAATTACATGTGTTAGTGGTGGATTCCACTGGAATTCAACAAATAAACCACAGATTGGATTGTGTTTCAGTTTTATCAATTTTTCCCATTAAATGACACATTTGCCTGTTGAACCATCAGATGCATGAGAAGTGGGATATGTCTGCTCAATTTAACAGCTAGGTGTGTTCTATGTGGTGTGTGTTTGTCTTGATATTCTTTTGATAGGATCATGTTCCTTAATGTAGTGCATGCTGTCTCTGAAATGATCTTGAAATCTCTTGTCTAGCTCTTTTTAAACCATCTTGCTTGTTTCCTTTTCATCACTGTTTCTTTTCTCACCCTTTCTCAAGCTGACTGAATCTTCTGATGAGGTAACAAAATAGCCTTTGTCCCTCATAGTCCCTGTTCCTTCCCATCCCTCTAACTTCATAAGGTCATTAAGACTAACCACATCTTTAACAGTCTGGATTTGGCATACCTTTCATGCTGATGTTTAGTATAACATGATTTCATATTTCCATTGCCCAAACAATATTTTTTTCTAAATCGATGGTATTTTGAAAGAAATTTAATAATCTGAGAAATGAAAGAAGTATAGTGACCAATATTAAAATGAAGGCTCTAATTGAATGTTTTCTACATAATTTTAATGGAAAACTAGATGCCTTTAATATTGAGAACTTCTCTTTTGTGGCCATTGCTACGTTACATGGACCTCTGTCATTTCTTTATCACTTTAGCCACTCAGCAAACAAAACAAGTGTCCCCAGTTTTAATTTGGCAAATGAATCTTAAAAAGAAAGAAATGAAAGAATGGAGATAAAAACCATCTTTCCAGACTTTGGGGAGAAGCAGCTCCTTCCTGGACTGAGGACATCAGACTTGAACTTGGGTTGTTGCTAGAAGAAACGTGTAGAAACCAGTACTACATTTTCCCTCTTCATCAGATGTCGGAATATGGTCCTCACTTTTCAGAGCAGATTGCCTGGCATTCGTGATCTCTTTTGTCTCTGTTACCAGTTTATTTGTAATATCTGGCTGTTCGTGCATTGTTTCAAGCTTCTTGCTTTTTCTGTGTTGGTTTTTGAATAATCATAACATGGCTGACTGCATTACTGAGTAATGTAGAACATCTTTTATGTATTTATCATGTTTGTTCATCTGTCCTTCAAAATGATCTAAGTTTAGCATTGGACTTGCTCTTGAATTTAGCATTTGATTCTGTTCAAGGCTGCAGCCATGGCTCCACCGGAGGAGGAACTGAAGAGAGTGAGCTCTCCAGAAGAGAGAAGGCAGAACTCGGTGTCAGACTTCCCACCTCCTGCTGGCCGGGAACTCATATTGCGCACCACTGTGCCACGCCCAGCCCCGTACTCCCGAGCTCTGCCTCAGCGCATGTATAGTGTTCTCACCAAAGAGGATTTCAGACTTGCAGGTGCCTTTTCATCAGATACCTCCTTCTTCTAATCCTTCTAGAGCCACCTCATTTATGGCTTCAGAGACTGCTCTGACCCCTTCTGTGGGAGGGAGTTTGTGTCAGTCAGAACTTGAGAGACCATGAAGAGGACCTGTCCAGTCCAATGATCAGGAATCATACCAGCATCTGAAAGACTTTTCCAGCTTCATGCTTGGGCTTTGTTGTATCTCGGTTTGGGCAGAGAGAATGGGCTTGAGCTTTTGAAAGATTTGCTCCCTGAAGAGATGGCCCTTGTTTGACCAGGGGTAGGGGTAGTGGGTAGGGGGATGTACAGGGACCAGAAAAACAGCAGGAGCTCTCTGTACTCCAGTGGGATTGTGCTCATTTATTCTTTCCTGTGACTGTTCCTTAGGTTATCACCTTGCATTTTTAGTCTGTGTAAACACACTTGTTGTATTTGTTAGTATCAGGTATGCAAAACAGAATATCTGTTAATTCAGATTTCTGGATATTTTGGTGGTAGCTTTTCCCAGAATCTGTGTTTTTGAAATACTAAATGGCATTCTGTTTATTCAATCATCTAGTGGCCATCCTTATTGTATTAATTAACTTTTGATGAGCATTTTGAATATTCTAGGAGAAAGCCTAGAATTTCACATAGTTTCTGTTTTTCCACGTAACTGTGACTTAAATGTATTCCTTCTGAGAAAACTATATATTGAATGTTACTGCAAATTAGTTTTATATCTTGTAAGGTTTGTTTATTTTACGTGTTGGTTGCCAGTGAGATATCAACCTGCAAACTGTTCTCTTCTTGCTCTACAGCATGCATTCCTTTTTTTTTTTTTTTGACCATGTCTGCTCAATTTAACAGCTAAGGTGTGTTCTATGTGGTGTGTGTTTGTCTTGATATTCTTTTGATACACAGTTCTTCCCCACCTTAATATGTAGTGCATGCTGTCTCCTCCAAATGATCTTGAAATCTCTTGTCTAGCTCTTTTTAAACCATCTTGCTTGTTTCCTTTCATCACTGTTTTCTTTTCTCACCCTTTCTCAGCTAGAAGACTGAATCTTCTCTTCTGATGAGGTAACAAAATAGCCTTTGTCCCTCTTGAGTCCCTGTTCCTTCCATCCCTCTAACTTCTGGAGTCATTAGACTAACCACATCTTTAACAGTCCTGGTTGGCATACATATATATGTCTTTGATGTTTAGTATAACATGATTTCATATATGTACCCAAACAATATTTTTCTAATCATTGGTATTTTGAAAGAAATTTAATAATCTGAGAAATGAAAGTATAGTGACCAATATTAAAATAGGCTCTAAGTGAATGTTTTCTACATAATTTTAATGGAAAACTAGATGCCCTTTATGTGAGAACTTCCTACTCTTTATTATTGCTACGTTACATGGACCTCTGTCATTTCTTTATCACTTTAGCCACTCAGCAAACAAAACAAATTATTATACTCCCCAGTTTTTAATTTAGCAATGAATCTTAAAAGAAAAGAAATGAAAAGAATGGAAAGTCAAACCATCTTTCAGACTTTGTGAGGAGAAGCAGCTCCTTCCTGGACTGAGGACATCAGACTTGAACGCGGGTTGTTGCTAGAAAAGCGTGAGTGTGAAACCAGTATACATTTCCCTGCTAAATCAGATATTAACCGATGGTCCTCACTTTTCAAGAGCAGATTACTTACAGCATTCTCTTTTGTCTCTGTTACCAGTTTATTTGTAATATCTGGCTGTTAGATTACATTGTTCAAGCTTCTTTTTTTTTCTGTGTTAGTTTTTTTGAATAATCATAACATAGCTGACTGCATTACTGGTAATATGCTATCTTTGTATGTATTTATTGTGTTTGTTCATCTGTCCTTCAAAATGATCTAAGTTTGTATTGGACTTGCTCTTGATTTAGCATTTGATTCTGTTCAAGGCTGCAGCATGTGGCTCCACCGGAGGAGGAACTGAAGAGAGTGAGCTCTCCAGAGAAAGGCAAGAACTGGGTGTCAGACTTCCCACCTCCTGCTGGCAGGGAACTCATGACTAGCACCACTACAACCTTGCGCCTTGCGCCCAGCCCATTACTCCAGGCTCTGCCTCAGCATGTATAGTCTCACAAAAGAGGATTTCAAGACTTGCAGGTGCCTTTTCATCAGATACCTCCTTCTCTAAATCCTTCTAGAGCCACCTCATTTGCAAGCTTCTATGAGACTGCTCTGACCTTCTGTGGGGAGGGAGTTAATCCGGCGTCAGAACCCAGACCATGAGAGGACAGCCTGTCAGTCCAATGATCAGGAATCATACCAGCATCTGAAAGACTTTTCCAGCTTCATGCTTGGCTTTGTTATCTCTCGGTTTGGGCAGAGAGAATGGGCTTGAACTTTGAAAGATTTGCTTCCCTGAAGAGATATTGCCCTTGTTTGACCAAGGGGTAGGGGTAGTGGTGAAAGTGTACAGGGACCAGCTCTGTACTCCAGTAGGTTGTGCTCATTTATTCTTTTCCTGGAGCTTCTGTTCATGGAGTTATCACCTTGCATTTTTTAGTCTGTGTAAACACACTTGTTGTTGTATTTGTTATCAGGTATACAAAAACAGAATATCTGTTAATTCAGATTTCTGGATAATTTTTGGAGTGTTGCTTTTCCCAGAATCTGTGTTTTTTGAAATACTAAATGGCATTCTGTTTATTCAATCATTATTGTGCATCATATGGCAATTAACTAACTTTTGACCTTTTGAATGGTATTCTGGGAGAAAGCCACAAATTTCACATAGTTCCTGTTTTTCCAGTAACTGTGACTTAAATGTATTCCTTCTGAGAAAACTATATATTGAATGTTACTGCAAATTAGTTTTATATCTTGTAAGGTTTGTTTATTTTACGTGTTGGTTGCCAGTGAGATATCAACCTGCAAACTGTTCTCTTCTTGCTCTACAGCATGCATTCCTTTTTT